ACAAACTTCCAATCAGTCCAGCATATAAACCCGTTCAACAAAAGCTCAGACGAATGAGACCAGAAATGCTTTTGCAAATTAAAGAGGAAGTGATGAAGCAAATTAATGCAGGTTTTCTACATGCAGCTAAATATCCAGAATGGGTAGCCAACATAGTACCAGTACCAAATAAGAACGGGAAAGTCTGAATGTGTGTGGATTACATAGATCTCAACAAAGCTAGTCCGAAAGATAGTTTTCCATTACCTCACATAGATACATTGGTGGACAATACTGCAGGTCATGCATGATTTTCATTCATGGATGGCTTTACAGGGTATACTCAGATAAAAATGAACCCTGAAGACATGGAAAAACAACATTTATAACCATGTGAGGCATATTCTGCTATAAAGTAATGCCATTTGGATTGAAAAATGCAGGGGCAACGTATCAAAGAGCCATGGTAACTCTGTTTCATGACATGATGCACAAAGAGATTGAAGTATATGTGGATGAAATGATTGCCAAATCCCGAACCGAAGAAGAACATATTCAAATTTGAGAAAGCTTTTCCATAGATTGAGGAATTATCAATTAAAGCTCAACCCCGCTAAATGCACTTTTGGTGTAACTTTCGGGAAGCTTTTGGGATTTATAGTCAGTAAAAAAGGAATCGAGATTGATCCAGATGAAGTAAAAGCAATTCAATATCTTCCACAACCAAATACAAAGAAAGAAGTTCGAGGCTTTTTGGGAAGATTAAATTATATATCTCGGTTCATTTCTCAGTTAACTGAAAAATGTGATCCAATATTCAAATTACTCCGAAAGAACAATCCTAAAGTCTGAAATGATGAATGTCAAGAAACTTTGGATATTATTAAGAGATATTTATCCAATGCCCCCATTTTAGTGTCACCAGTGCCTGATAGACCGTTAATCCTCTACTTAACAGTCTTTGAAAATTCGATGGGATGTGTACTGGAACAGCATGATGAATCTGGAAGAAAAGAGAAAGCCATTTATTATCTGAGTAAGAAATTTACTGATTGTGAAATTCGATACCCACCAATACAAAAATTATGTTGTGCCTTGGTGTGGGCTACTCGAAGGCTCAGACAATACATGTTATATCATACCACTTGGATGATATCTAGATTTGATCCTTTAAAGTTCTTGATGGAATCACCAGCTTTGACATGCAAAATGGCTAGATGGAAGATGTTATTATCCGAGTTTGATATTGTATATGTCAACCAAAAAGTAATAAAAGGAAATGTCATAGTTGATTTTCTGGCCAGTCGCGTATCCGATGATTATCAGTCTCTAAGCTTTAATTTTCCAGACGAAGATTTGTTAAGCATATCCATGAATGAAGAAGTCATAACGAATGATGAATCCTGGAAGCTTTATTTTAATGGAGCATCCAATGCCTTGGGACGAGGAATTGGAGCAGTGCTAATTTCTCCAGAAAATATTTATTATCCTTTCACAAGCAGACTGGAGATCTTTTGCACTAATAACATGGCAGAATATGAAGCTTGTGTCATGGGATTGAAGGCAACCATAGAAAGGAAAATTAAATTTCTCCAGATATATGGAGATTTATCATTAGTGGTGTATCAATTACGAGGAGAACGGGAAACAAAAGATCCCAAATTGCTGGAATACCGGAATTTTTCCCTCGAATTAGTAAAAGAATTTGAGAAAATCACCTTCAATTATCTCCCTCGAGAGGAAAATTAAATGGCAGATGCTTTGGCCACATTAGCTGTTATGTTTCAGGCAACTAAGAAAGTTGATATGATGCAGATCAAAATGCAAGTATATGAAATTCCTGCACATTGTTACAGTGTGGAAGAAGAGGCAGATGGCAAACCATGGTATTATGATATCCTGCAATATATCAAATATCAAAGTTATCCATAAAATGCATCTGAAATTAATAAAAGAACATTGAGAAGAATGGTTGCTGGATACTTTCTTGATGGCGAGACTTTGTATAGAAGAAGCAATGATCAAATGTTGTTAAGATGTTTAAATACTAGCGAAGCCAGAAGCATCATTGAGGAAGTACACAGTGGAATATGTGGAACACATGCAAATGGTCTTTCCATGGCTAGAAAAATAATGAGATATGAATATTATTGGGCTAAAATGCACACAGATTACATTGATTATGCAAGGAGATGTCATAAATGCCAGATATATGCAGATAAGATTTATGTACCCCCATCTCCTTTACATGTAATGACAGCACCTTGGTCATTTTCTATGTGGGGAATAGACGTCATTGGGGCAATCACACCAAAAGCATCGAATGGACATTGTTTCATCTTAGTAGCAATTGACTATTTTACCAAATGGGTTGAAGCTGCTTCATATACCAATATTAAGAGGTCTACAGTCTGCAAATTCATAAAGAAATAAATAATTTGCCGGTATGTCTACCAGAAAGGATCATTACAGATAATGCTCTGAACCTGAACAACAAAATGATGACTGAACTTTGTACACAGTTTAAGATCAAGCATGCAAACTCAGTAGCATATCGTCCAAAGATGAATGGGGCAATTGAAGCGGCAAATAAGAACATCAAGAGAATCATTACAAAGACTATTGAAACTTACAAAGATTGGCACGAGAAGTTACCTTTTGCTTTATATGTATACCGAACTACTGTGCGAACATCTACTGGGGCAACACCTTTTTCTTTAGTCTATGGAATGGAAGCAGTCTTACCAATTGAAGTTGAGATCCCATCACTTCAAATCTTGAGATAGGTGAAATTGGATGAGTCTGAATGGATCCAAGCTCGATTTGATCAATTGAACCTTATTGATGAAAATAGATTTAAAGTTATTTGCCATGGACAGATGTATCAGAAACGGATGATGAAGTCTCATGACAAGAAAATATATCCAAGAGAATTCCAAGAGGGTAATCTATTGTTGAAAAAGATCTTGCCTATACATAAAGATTTCCGTGGGAAATGGATGCCTAATTGGGAAGGGTCATACGTTGTAAAGAAGACCTTTTCTGGAGGAGCGTTGATCTTGGCAGAAATGGATGGAAAAGTTCTGAGAAACCCAATAAACTCAGATTCTGTCAAGAAATATTATTCTTGAAAAAAAATGAAGAAAAAGAAAAAAGAAAGAAAGAGAAAACATGTTGAAAAAGAAAAAAATAGAAAAGGAGGGTCGTGATGAAAACCCGCAAAGGGCGTCTTGCAACCAAAAGAAGGATTTGAGTTGAAAACCTGAAAGGGCTGCTCAAATACATGTTGGTATTAGGCATCTGGCAATTAAACCTTCTTAAGATTTTGATAGTTTGGGAGGAACTTCACATCTACAAGCATTTTGACAACGTTTGAGATCTTCCAGACAAAAGCTTACTTCAATACTCTAAATCATATCAAGTTGTTTAATTTAGAAATACTTGTGCTAATAATTTGTTGAGTCATTTGAATTTTTATCATTCCTATGATTGTCATGACTTTAAATATATTTTTATATATTTATCATTTATTCCAAGTTTATCTTTTTGAAATTCAATTTATTTTTGAAATTCAATTTGTTTCATATAAACATCCTGTAAATAGATTAATATAATCTTAAAAACAAACAAAATATTCCTGGCTATTACTTCATGATTAATACTTTTAAGTACATGGAATCTAAAGTAAGTCTTATCGACATTTGCAATCACTGTTGAAAAGAAAAACAAGTTATGTCCATCATAGAGTCATTTGGAAGCGGAACAAGAGGAAATTTGTTATCAATGGGCAGATTATGAATATAGCCCCCTTTCCATGCAACAGTGCAAATTTGCTTCGAATCTACAAATTCTGGCTCTACATCATATAAGTACTGTGACATTTTAGCCCAAATACAATTGGAGCAAATAGCATGTTATCATAGTAGAAATAAGGAGGCCCAATAGCATCTTCTGGAAGTATTCTTTGAGTTATCAGATCTGGTTCAGTAAGAACTCCAAAACCAATCATTGGATTAGGAAGATGAACTGCATGATCGTCTACATTAAGAAGCTTCTTTTCAAGTTACGTTTGCTTCTTCTTTTTCTAAGAAAATCATAGCCCAAGTTTCACCTTTTCTTGTAATTGGGATCATTGCATAATGGCTTCCTATCTTTTACTGGAATAAGTGCATCAGCAGCCTTAACCATTTGAGCAGCATATATAAAATCTGTCAACTCTGCAATTGATGAATCAGGACCACATCTCTATGACTATTGAAGACTTAGCATTTGAGTATCCCATTTTCTTAAAGTATAACAGTTTATTCTCCTCATCAAAATCAGAATTCAGGATTTCCTCGGTATCAGAAGAACTATCAATATCTGTGAAATCATCTTGAAAGATTACTTCATAATCAGATGAGTAGTTATCAGAATCAACATGTTACATAAGTGCAAACTTTTCAAGAGCATGTGCCATTGAGTTTTGTTCTCAAGGGGTTTTGTGACATTATACAAAAATAAGGCATATCTACATCTACACTCTTCAAAGATGATAGATTCTTCGTTCGAAGAGGAAAGATTTATTGGATTTCTACACAATTGAAGAAAGACTAAGTTCACCTCTTTGAAATTAAATAAAGATGAAATTAACATTCATGCATCATATTTAGACATTTGCAAAATAGGTGCATTTTCATCCATTTTATCCATATTTGACAAGAAATTCAAAGATTTTAGCAAAGATTCGAATCCATCATTCGATGGATCAACATTTCCAGAAAGAGTTCATAATGAAAAGAACTCATCTGAAGAAGGAAGAAGAAATTCATAATGAGAATAATTTGTTCAAACATTTTGTTTGAATTCATCATTTGATGGATCAAATTTTCCAGAGAAGTTCATAATGAGAAGAACTCATCTGAAGAAGAAAGAAGAAGTTCATAATGAGAAGAGCTTGTTCAACCTTTTGCATGACTCTATCACAGAAGGAGATAGATCAACATCAACTTTTCCAGAGAAGTTCATAATGAGAAGAACTCATCTGAAGAAGGAAGAAGAAGTTCATAATGAGAAGAACTTGTTCAACCTTTTGCATGACTCTATCACAGAAGGAGATAGATCATCATCAACTTTTCCAGAGAAAGTTCATAATAAGAAGAAGTCATCTGAAGAATGAAGAAGAAGTTCATAATGATAAGAGCTTGTTCAACCTTTTGTATGATCTATCACAGAATGAGATAGATTAGCATCAAGAAGAGCTTGTATAATCTATCATAGAAGGAGATAGATTAACATCAACATTTTCAGAAGTGTTTATAATGAGAAGAACTCATCTGAAGAATAAGGAGCAGAACTTGTTCAAACTTTTTGCTAGATTACATCACAAAAGGAGATGAATTGACATCTCCAGTGGAATAATTCATAATGAGAAGAATTTGTTCAACATTTCCATCTTAATCAAGAGAAGTCAACTGAACAAAAATTTATTGTCTTTTCGTCTTTGCCATATTCTTGTTAACACAAGAATGTACAAAGAGGGGCAGCTGTAGACATTAAATTTTGTCTATTTTATTTTTATTATTATAATGATTATAATTATTACTATTATTATTATATTTTTATTAATAAATATTTTTATTATATTTTTATTAATAAATATTATTATTACATATTACAGGCCCAATACCCGGAGCCCAATTACAACAGTACCCAATACCTAGAGCCTAGTTCTGGCCTAACTGAGCTAGCTTAATAGAAACCCTAAACTGATTAGGGTTTGATCTCAGCTCTATCCGCCAGTAATCATCCACCGTTGGATCTCAAATCCAACGGTCCAGAAGCCTCCAGCTGAAACCCTAGGGTTATGATACCTAGGGACATGCAGTCGCCGCCTCTGTTGCCGCCGCTCCACGCCGCTTCATATACTGCCACGACGCCAGCCGAGAGCCTCCAGAAGATTCAAAACCAGACGTCCACGTTAAAGGCCACTATGAGTCACCACTAAAGTTTGGTGACTCACTAAACTGCCACTCTATTATCCGGTCCAAGATGAGCGCTGATGATGGCTATAAAGCCATCAACCGAACCTGCAAAGAAAAACCAGAGAAGGAATGAGTAACCTAGCAACCATAAAACACCAAAATAACAAGGAAAATACGAGGAATACTTACCGAGGAAGCACCGCCATCACCAGAGTTCACACGAGCCTCCAAGCATCACTTAAGGCCTTCGAAAACCCAAAGGTATTTTCATATATTTGCTCCGATCAGGAGCTTTTTAAGAAAAACGGTCACCGGAACCGTCATTAGGATGATCCGATCTACATTTTGGTGTAAAATAAAATTTTCCGGCCACCGGATGCGGTGGCTGGCGGTGGGGTTAACGCCGGCAGACGGCTGTCGGTCGGTGTCATATCTCTCTGTTTTAGAGAGAAACGAGAGAGAAATTTATTCTCTCAATTTAGAGAGAGAATGAGAGAGAAGGAAATAAAGGCTTTGGCCTTAAGGCCGTTCGGTCTTGGGTTTAAATACCCCTCACCGAAAGGCGTCGTTTTGGGGAGGGGTATATGCGTAATTATGTAAATTGTTTTAGGTAAAACTTTACCCGCTTCCATCACAGTTCTGTAATCTTATATTTTAGTCACTAAAGTAAACTTTAGATCCTCTTAATTCAGTATTCGAATTTTATATATATTCATTTTAGCCCTTTACATAAAACAATATATATTTTAGGTAAATGACAAATTTAGTCCTTTGATTTTAATAATTAATATTTTAACCCCGAATAATAGGTTTTAATTTATTTTAATTTGATACTCGAATTTAATATAATTTTATTTTTGCCCCTAAATTAAATAAATGAAAAATAGCATGTTTAATCCCTGTAATTTTAAATAAATTAATTGTGAATTAGATATTTAATTTTAATATATTTTAATTTAATCATTAACTTTAAATTATTAGTTTTTATTATTTTTACTTTCATTTATTATAGTTATTGTTTAAATTTTATATGATTATTATCAATATATTTAAATATTATTATTATTATAAATATATATATATATAATAAATAATATTTATTTTATTTTTAAATCCTTTATATAAATTATTTTTATTTTATTTTAATTAAAGAAAATGGCTGTCTTAAAGCACCTAGAAGTCCGTTTTCTGACATTTTTATCTTATAAAATATATATTAATTGTTAAATATTTTATTAATATTTCTTTTATATATCGAAGAAAAGAATTGTCTTAAAGCACCTAGAAGTCATTTTCTGATATTTCTAAATAGATAAATATCTTATTTATATTTAAATTAATATATTTTTATAAAATTATAAATTTGAAATAACAATATTATAAAATAAATATATCTTTGAATTTTTAAATTTCAGACAATAGAGACAATTTATAATTAATGAGTACCAAATTTTGGGCGTTATAGGGGTGTTAATCCTTCCCTAAACGTAATCGACCACGAATCTTATTTTACTAAAATTTTTTGTTATACGCAGATCAATTTTATCTTTTAAATTATGTTTTATTCAAAACTATTTTAAAAGATTGTTTTAAGTATTTGACCTACCTAACTCAAAAAGGCCAATGGCGACTCCCAAAATATTTTTTAAATCAAAATCATTTATTTATTCGTTTTATTTTCCCCGCCAAGTAGTAAAAGTAAAGTAAAAATTCGTACCCGGGCGAAAACCGGTTACGACATAACCGATATAAATATACCAGTTTTATGAGAAAATAGGTCATCATAAAGTATCGACACTTATTAAGTTTGTGTCGATATATTTTGTCCATAATGAATGTCAGACGGGTGCACTCATAAAGTGTCGATACATTTTTAAAAAGTATCGATCCCAAAAACATCGAAACCCATAATTATAATGTAATAGGTAATTTTGTAATATAACCGGTATATTTATACCGGTTTTATGTGAGAATAGGTATACATAATGTGTCGACACTTTTTAATGTGTCGATACTTTTTTCCAGAATGAATGCCCAAAAGGGTGAACGCATATAGTGTCGATACATTTATAAAAAGTATCGATCCAAAAAACATCGAAACCGATAATTATAATGTAATAGATAAATTTGCAATGTTACAGGTATAAATATACCGGTTTACTTATAAAATAGGTCAATATAAGCGCTAATTATTACATTATATAAACGCTACCTAATATGTTATTGTACTTGATAATATTTCCAGTTAAATACCTATTTTATTATATAAGCGCTACCTATTACATTATATAAGCGTTACCTAATATGTTATTGTACTTGATAATATTTTCGGTTAAATAATATAACATAACCGGTCTAAATTTTAACCGGTCACTTGTTTAACTGGTCATGCCGTCGCACAGAAAAAGTTTTCGAAGAAACCCCATAAAGTCAAATTGGGTTTAGAATTACATAATATTCCGAAACAAATATAAGCTAGAACTCGTAATTTGGGGTTGAATACATAATTGTATACTCATTCCGAATCCAGGTAACATTCAGCATGGTTTAGAATTACAGCATGCACCCCACTCTTAGTACTATTAAGAGGGCCTTCCAAAACGTGTTTTTGCTGATTCTAGGTTTTTTAGGGATGAATCGATTTTGACTTGCTTAAGTTATGAATTCTATTTTACACTTCAAATTTTATTCAATTTTTTTTAGACTGAGTTTATAAAATTCAAGTCAAATCAAATTAAATTGTTTAAATTTCAATTTAAATTTAATTCTAAATATTTATAATGTTATAGTCTATTAAATTTCAATTTAAACAATGTTCTATAACAATTTATGACATGAATATATATTTATTCATATATGATATACATATATCGTGCTGCCTTGAGAGACTCAACTCAAGCTTGCAAACCAATCCGCTAATTACTAAAAATTTTGAGATATTCAAATTATTTCAATTCTATCTTATAACACAATTCGAATTTGAATTCTTTTCGAGTCGAATTTATGAAACTATCGTTTTTCAAGTTAGACTTGAGTTTTACTCACCCAAGAGACTACCTCATCCGTAGTAAATTTCATATATAAGCAGCCTTTAAGCAAATAACCATCCATGAGGTAAAATCTCTAAATCTGCTTAACTAACGGATCTAGGGTTTCATTTCACTATGTTCTCCACCATCATCCATTGAAGAACCAAATAACAAAACACCATCCAATACAATACCACAACTGTTATACCAAAGCAAACAAGTATTGAATGACAAAATATATTGTACCGAAAGCATACACCCAAGCTATTTAGGAATATCAATATCAAAACAAGATAGAATAACCAATCACACCATACCTATACCCACCACATTGAGACATATTGAAATGCCATGTATCTAGAGGAGAAAAAGTTATTAATTCCCCTCAATTCTGTTCTTAGTATGAAGGGAAAAAGGGTATCAATCTAAATGAATAATAATAATAATACAAAACAAATGAGTCATCGAACCTTCTAGTCCACCATTTTGGCCAAGCGATGGACGGTACTTCTTGCGATTCTATTACCAGGATCAATCTTCAGAACAGTTCTTAGATCTTCAGCCCCAAGTTTGTATTTCTCCATGCTTTCGTACAACAGTGCACGTTGTACAAGGACGGACACAATCGTCTCATCGTGCTCTAATACCTTGATAGAAAAATGAACAACATAACTTCATCTGTAAAACTAGTGGACCATCAATCCATATAGTGATTTCAGTTGATGTATCCTTGATGAATACAAAATCAAAGGACCTTGCAGTGTGCAAATAGAGTACCATGCTAATTATTCTTTCTCACACCCATTTGAGATCAGGTTTAAATGCTTGCTCCAGAGCTAACATCGGATCAAACCTCAACCCCGTGCCACCCTAACAATTTGGGAGGAGGTTTGCATGGGATTGAGTAAATTTAAAAAATCATTTGCAATCTACGTGCATGCTATAGAATTTTAATATAAATATTTGCACTAATAAGCAAATATAATATCTAACAATTTGAAGAGTCTCGTACCATTGAACAATCAGCTACAGCCTTCTTGTACTCCCCAACCTCTTTATAGCATGAAGCCCTACATGATAAAACCTCCATGGTGGCAGCCTTATCTTTTGTCTTTTCAAGCAGAACCACTGCCCACGACAGCCACTTAATGGCATCAGCATACTGGCCTTGCTTCTGGTTGTCGATGCCCTTGCTCTTGGCAGAAGATGCTGTGACACCAGCCGGGGGAGGAGGAAGCCCTTCGAGCTCTGTTGTCGAGCCGACGTCATTTCCTCCTCCTCCGAACTCGGAGTCTAACCCCCAATCATCAACTCCTGAAAATTGCTGCTCTCCACCTCCACCAGCACTGGATGCTTGAGCAGCAACTCCACCAGAAGCTGAAGACGCCGAAATGAACATGTCGAGAGGGTCACCGCCTGAGCTCTGAACAGATGATTGACTTTGAGATCCAACATTCTTCGCAGGCATCCCAAAATCATCCATATTCAAACCAGAAGAAACATCCGACCCCATAAAATCATGATAACTCGAAGTGAAACCACTAGACGGAGATGCAATTGTGCTAGGTTTTGAAGCATTCTGAAAATGCCCAAATGCATCATCTGCAACCTTGGCCTTATTTCCTCTGTTGCTTCCTGAATTAAGGCTACCTGATGGTTTTGATGAAAAATCAACCAAAGAACCAAAAGGGTCCTTCGAACCAATCCCACCAGCTCCTCCGGCCGTACTTTTCATTGGTGCCCCGCCAAGATTCTGACTCTTAGTATTATTAATATCGACATTAACATTACTACTACCAATACCACTGTTATTATTGTATCCACCAGAAGTTCCCCAATTCCCAGTACTTTTGGGTAATGAATCAGCCAAATTCCCCATTGAATATGTGCTTTTACTCGAAGAATTTGAAGCCGGATTCGAATTTTTCAAAGGAACATTAGAATTACTATTACTCTTTCCCTGTCCCAAAGCAGAGGTAACCAAATCTCCAAACAAATTAGGGCTCTTGTTAACGATCCCAACCCCAGAGCTATTACCTCCCGTGGAGCCCCAGCTCTTCCCAAAAATGTCTCCCACCATGGAAGTGGGACCAGATAACCCGGGTTGGGTTGCCTGATTCGGGGTGTGGGTTGGTGGGTCCACGACGGCTTGTTGGGTTGCCATCCCGGCTTCGATTGTGCAGATGTTGTCGATGAATATGGAGAAGTGGTTTTGTTCTTTTGATCATTGAGAGATTTGGGTCGGCCCGATCCAAGGCCGAGATCAAAATCGAAGCTTTTTAGCGAACCAGACAACCCTTTCCCGTAATTGGAGTTCATGATTTTCTCGCAAAATGTGGATCTAAGTAGGTATTAATTGACGGAATCGAATTTGATCAAAGAACATACCTTTTCAAAGATGAGATCCTGAGTTTAGGCGCACTACGGCGGCGGGGTCGGCGGCGGAGTGTGGTGTTTGGAGAGAGAGAGAGTTGAGTTCCGGTGAACTGGAAGTGTGAAATTTGATTTCGGACAAGAAAGCAGAGCAGAAGAGGCTTCGGATCTGAAATCTAGTTTAACACCCAACGGAGGAAGTAATTAAATGAAGGGGGGGGGGGAACTGGGCAATTAATTACATTCTGTTTTCAAGTCTCAGTTTTGCAATTTTTTTGTTTTAACAATTTCCATTAATAATCATGGGGATTTGAGTTTTAAAAAGATTTATATTAAATTATTTAAAACCATCACATTTTTTTTAAAATAATCAAATAAGTATTAACTGGAAATAGCGTCTGTTACAGTAATATCATAAATGCAATGTGGATAATCTAACGTGAATGAAATTAGAGTGCCAATGTTGGAAGCCCATTGTGCAAGCGTGTGCGAGGCGACATTAGCCTTTGACGAACCGCGACCAGCTTGTAATTCGGATGGGAGTTAAGAATGTCCCGAGCTTCAAACAGTTGAAAATGTAGCACTGAAAAATCAGTGTCAGACTGAAGAACCTGTGCAACTACATTAGTAGCGTCACTCTCCAATATTACTCGAGAATAACCAGCTCCCACTGCAAATTGAAGACCTGCACAGATTGCATCAGCCTCAATCATAGAGGGGTCCTTAGATATAGAAGCGCACATGGTCTGAACTGCAAGAACAAAGCCGTCTGAGTCCCAAGCGATGTTGCCAACCGTTGCTGCTGCATTGGAGGATGGCAAGCCCCATCAACATTTATTTTAATGATGCCCGAAGATGGTTTACTCCAATGCTCCAAGTGTGATATGAATGAAGTAGTAGATCTGGGAGCCAAATTGTTGGATGTAGCATCAGAATAAGCAGACTGCAAAGCACGGGTGGTCGTCGATACATGCCACTTAGAAAGCAGTCTTGACTCACGAACCAAAACATTTCACCGATGCCAATTCTGTGATATCATACCCAACAAAATAGTGAAACATACAGTGTCCATCAGCCCCATTGTAGATTTCAACCAACTGCCACATGAATCAAACACACCAGATACAACAAAGGAGGGCAACCCCGCCATTGAAAAGATTGGGATAACCTCAGGGCAGTCCCGTAGAGCATGAAACACAGTTTCTTCGGATAATTCAAATAAAGGACAGATGGCATCGAACATCCCAGCCAAGAACAGAAGACGACGCACCGGTAGAGCTTCATGAGCAGCTCTCCAACCAAACAGGCGCACCCTCGGCAATGTAGGGAGACGAGATAAGACCAACCATAGACGTGATGAGTGAGCGGGCTGTCGATGTTGTCTGCATATCCATCGGTACCCGGAGTGGACTGAATAATTTCCCGATGAATGACCTTGACATAACAATTTGTCAGTGGGCACAGACGAGAGGATATTGCCAGAAAGAAGTACTTTGCTGTCAACAAGCGGGAAAGCTGAATGGATGGATTCTATATGCAACGCCCAAATTTGCGTACCAAGCATCGCTATATTAAATAGATGAAGATCGTAGAACCCCAGACCACCGACTCTCTCCGGTTTTCCTGCTGACAAACCGTACTCTACTCGACTAGTGGCCAACCTTTATCTGACGGGTCACCCGACCACCAATAGGCATGAAGGGCACTATCGATATATCGAATTATCCCATCCAGAAGAAGATAACAGCCCATAGTATATGTAGGAAAAACTTGACCAACCGACTTGATGTGTTTAGTACATTGTTATGGATTTATTTTGAAATTTTATCATATATTTCATTTAATTTGTAAATTTATATACAAATAGTATATTAAATATAAATCTAGATTATAAAACTACATAATTTACGGTAAGAATAAGGAAAAAAATGAACGAGAGATAAATAACAAAATGAGAGATGATATTGTTTTTCTAGTAATTATTTTTTGATAAATCTAAGATAAATATAAAGAAGTATATGTTCAAAGATTCTTAATCATTTGACAATAAACGGTTATATCATTACATAGACAGTATTCGAACCTAAGACTTCAAAGAATAACAATAAGTTCCTTAACCATTGAAGTCGTTTGGTTCATGCTTCTAATAACTTGTATATTATGATTTTTACAAAATCACCATTTGTAGGGTTATAATCATATACATAAGGGGTGTTATAGAAAAACAAAATATCAAGAGTCCAATAAGTGTTACTTGTAGATAGAATTCACAATTCCTTAGATGTATTAAAGAACACGTTAAGTGATCTCAATGTTAAAAAAGAATGTTATTTCCCTTAAAGATTTTAGATTTGAACAGCTATATGGGTAGGTTAGTATGCATTATCAATATATCGATTAATTTTTTTTGAACATATACTATATTGTAACCATTCTAAATTATTAAAAAAACATGTCTCATTAAAAGCTTACTAAAAAAATCTCAGACAAAAATACACCGAAAAAGAGAGAGTACATAATATAATAATATCCAAGACTTGTAGCCGTGTTAAAGAATAAGAAAAATCATTGGGACAAAATCACGTATAGAGAAAAAAAAAAGTATAATGTGTATGCTACTCTCTTTTATGACTACATCACTCAAGATCTTTAAAACGCCGTAATTAACAACGAGCATCACATATGATTTTGAGTGTCACAGTTGTTTTATCGATCATTACATATGATTTTGAGTTAGATATCAACAACGAGTGTAGAATTAATGATGCTTTCAAATGATTATTTGTAAAACTAGCATTTCTGAACACTTTATCCCCGTATGTGGCATCTCTTCCATTTTGTGTTTTTCCAAGGGGTGTTGTGAATTCCAAGGATATAATTTGGGTACTTGGACGAATCAAGATAATAATCGGTTGCTTCAATTTTTTTCTCAACATTTAAGGGGTAATTTTCTCACTAATTCAATACTAATTTTCAATGCAAGGTTGCAACAGCTACCCTTATATTCTTTCACGAATTAAAATAAATTTACAATTCATAACTAATTATAATAATTCATTACCATAATTAATATGTTGATAAATAATTTATTAAATGAGTTTATCAATATTGTTAGAGAGAATGTAAGGTCGGCTAGGAAAGCAATTTGCCCGTATAAACCAACTATTGCTCTCTTCCAAGAAACAAAAGTAGGTTCGATCGGTTGTAATTTTTTGGGGCTTCGTTGGGCCTCCTCTAGCTTCCAGATTGTTTCTTCTCCGGCGTCTGGCTCGGCCGGTGGGCTCTATGTCTATGGGATTCTGATTATTTTCAACTTACCGATCACTTCCTTCATCAGAGATATGTTGCTCTCATTTCGAAGCAATAATTTTTGTTGTGATATTATAAATGTGTATAGTCCGTCTGTAGACTCCAATAAACATAGTTTTTTCTCAGAATTACTCACATTTGCCAAAAGTAATGATATCCAATGGTGTATTGGAGGAGATTTCAACGCCTTTTTATCACCAGAGGAAAAGAGTGATTTTTCTTACAATCAAGCAGTGGTGGACATGTTCCAATTTTTTGTGAATGAGGCTGGACTTATTGACTTGCCCACGATTGGTGGCTTTTTTTAACTGGTGCAACTATAGGGATTCTCCCACTTTTGTAAGGCTGGAAAGATTTCTTGTGTCGCCAGAGTTTGTCAATGTACCAAAAGGTGCCATCAAAGTCGATTTCTGACCATAATGCTATAATATTGGAGTCTAGGGTGGATTGGGATCCTCAACCTTTTAAGTGTTTCAATTATTGGTTTGATGAAGCTGGCTTTGATGATATGGTAGTTTCGACTCTAAATCGATTAAAGGATAGTAACTGCAAGTCAGGCTTGGTTAAGCTTCTACAAGGATCAAAGCTCGCTATAAGGAGCTGGTACAAAAATTTCAAATCTGTTTCTAAACCGTCAATAGCGGATTTGGAATGCAATACCAGTGATCTTAAAGACGAAATACATAATGCAGCTGGTGTTCCTAATTTAGTTGAAAATATCAGGAAGTTGAAATCCACTCTCTGGAACGAGCATGGGAGGGAAGAGCGAGAATGATTTCAAAAATCAAGGTTGCGTTGGTTTCATGAGAGCGATAGAAATACACGTTGACAACCTCTGTTATTCGTAGAGCTAATCTGATTTCGAGTATCAAGTTTGGTGATAGTCTTGTTTCGGATCAATTTACAGTGAAGAAGGTAATTCATGACCGTTGGGAAATAAACGAGTAAACAAGTAATTTCCCTATAACCAGATTAGTAAGAATGCAAAATAAAAGCGGAAAAATAATACCCGAAAATTGATAACGGAGTTCAACCAATTGTGCTTACGTCTCCGGACTGCTGCAGATCTTTTACTAAGAGAGAAAATTTACAGGTGTTTACAAAACACTCACTACTCACAAGAAACTCTCTAGTATTGGGAGAAAGAAATGATTTGGGATTTGGGATGATTTTGAAGCTAAATGAGCTAGGGTATTTATAGTTGAAACTTAGGGACTAATCTTTGAAAATACCCTAAAGTGCAATGACTAAAGTGAATTTACCCATTCCTATTTTCAACAAACATCTACCAAACATTACCAAACTTTGAAAAACATTTTTCAAAGAAACATTTACCAAATTTTGAAAAACATTTTTCAAAGTTGGTTGCCAAACTTTGAACTAACTTTTAACAATCTCTCACTTGAAGACTGATTTTAATCTGTCTTCACACCTCGATCAATGCAACAGTATTTCTGGTCTTGTTATTCTAGCATGCCAACTGAAGTTGAACACAACTTCAGTTTGTCCGTAGTCACTGTCTTTGTCAACGTGTCTGCCGGATTTTGAGCTCCACTAATCTTTTCAAGTTTCAAAATCCCATCTTCCAGAAGAGATCGGATAAAATGATATCTCAATTGTATGTGCTTCGTCCTGGAATGAAAAGACGGATTCTTTGCTAGATGGATAGCATTTTGACTGTCGCAATACAAGATATTGTTTTCTTGTTTCTTGCCTAACTCTTCCAAGAAACTTTGGAGCCAAACCATCTCTTTGCTAGCTTCCGTAACAGCGACATATTCTGCTTCAGTTGTGGAAAGAGCAACTATCTTCTGTAGTTGAAAAACTCAACTCAGTGCAGTTCCTCCTAGAGTATAGACATACCCTGTAGTGCTCATTTTGATGTCAATATTTCCGGCCAAGTCAATATCTACATAGCCTGTCAATATCGTATCTCCAACTTTGAAACAAAGTGCTTTGTTTGTGGTACCTCGCAGATATCTGAGGATCCATTTGACTGCTTCCCAGTGTATCTTGCCCGGATTATTCATGTACCTGCTAACAGCTCCCACTACATGAGCAATATCTGGTCTGATACATACCATGGCATACATCAGACTTCCAATTGCTGAGGCATACGACACATTACCATGTGTGCACGTTCTTCCTCCGTCTTTGGTGACTGTTCTTTGGAGAGTCTAAAATGAACACCTAAAGGTGTACTTGCTGGTTTAGCATCTTGCATGTTGAACCTGGAGAGTACTTTGTTGATGTACTCAGCCTGTGATAACATCAAAGTCCCCGACTTTGTGTCTCTCTTGATCCTCATCCCAAGAATCTACTTTGCAGCACCCAGATCCTTCATAGCAAATTGCTTCGACAATTTTTGCTTCAAGTGTATAATCTCTTGCATGTTTGAGCCTGCAACGAGCATGTCATCAACGTACAACAATAAAATAATGAAGCTATTGTCGAACCTCTTGATGTAGCAACAATGATCTGCTTGGCATCTGGTAAAGCCACTGCTACTCATGAAGCTATCGAACTTCTTGTACCACTGTCTAGGAGCTTGTTTTAAACCATACAAGCTCTTCTTCAACCTACATACCAGGTTTTTCTTGCCTGCCTCTATGAAGCCTTCTGGCTTCCTCATATAGATTTATTCCTTCAAATCACCATGAAGGAAAGCTGTCTTTACATCTAACTACTCAAGATGTAAATTTTCTTCCTTTTGCTGAAAACCTTTGAGAACCAATCTTGCTTTGTAGCATTTGCTCCAATCGTGCTCTTCCTTGATCCTGTAAATCCACTTGTTGTGGAGCGCTTTCTTTCCTGGTGGTAATTCAGTTAATTCCCACATCTGATTTGACATAAGCGAGTCCATCTCATCTTTCATGGAAGACTCCCACTTGACTGAATCCTCCACCTGCATTGCTTCATCATAGCACTCTGGTTCACCATTGTCAGTCAGCAACAAGTATTGCAAAGAAGGAGAATAACGTTGGGTTGGTTTAGGAATTCTGGAGGAGCGTCTTAGTTCTGGTGTGCCTGGTTCTTCTTGAACTGCTTCAGGACTGATCTGAACATCATTTCCAGAAATCTCCTCGAACTCAGCAAATTCCTTTGTTTCAGCTTTGGTATTGGAGCTGCTTGATTCTACAGTTAACCTGTCTTTGTACATCATATTCTCATTGAAAATGACATCTCTGTTTCTGATGATCTTCCGATTTTCATAGTCCCAAAACCGGTAGCCGAACTCATCACCACCATAACCAACAAAGATATATTTGTTGGACTTGGCATCAAGTTTACTTCTTTCAGCAGAGTTTATGTGTATATAAGAAATACAACCAAACACTCTTAAGTGTGAAAGGTTTATTTCTTTCTTGCTCCAAACTTCCTCTGGTATTCTGCCATCCAAAGGAACTGAGGGCCCACGGTTAATCAGGTAAGCTGCAGTGTTGATAACTTCAGCCCATAGAAATTTGGGCAATCCGGCATGTATCCTCATGCTTCTGGCACGTTCATTCAGAGTTCTGTTCATGCGCTCTACTACGCCATTCTGTTACGGTGTCATGGGAACTGTTGTCTTCATCTTGATCCCATTGTTTGCGCAAAATTCTCTGAATCTACGATTTTTGTACTCTCCTCCATTATCAGACCTCAACCGCTTGACTTTCAGACCAGTCTCATTTTCCACCATGGCCTTTCATTTTCTGAAGGTATCAAAGACTTCTGATTTTTTCTTTAGAAAATAAACCCAATCCTTCCTTGTAGAATCATCGATGAATGTGACATAATATAATGAGCCTGCAAGATATGAAACTGTAGATGGTCCCCATACATCAGTATAAACCAACTCTAACTTTTCAGCCTTGGATGTCTTACCAATCTTTGCAAAGCTGACTTTCTTTTGTTTGTCAAAGATGTAATCCTCGCATAGTCCGACATCTATATTCTTTAGATCCGACAACTTCCCCTTTGATAAAAGTGTCTTCATCCCTTTCTCGCTCATATGGCCAAGCCTTTGGTGCCATAGGTTTGATTTTCCATCAGCATCTGCTACTGCAATGACATTCTCTAAATTTGAGGTTATATAGAGAGTAACAATTTTCTTACCACGAGCAATGACGAGTGCTCATTTGGTAATCTTCCATTCACAGCCTGAAAAGGTTGTACTATATTCTTCTCCATCAAGTTGTCTTACAGAAATCAAATTCCTTTTGAGGCCAAGAATATGTCTCACTCCTGTCAGCTTTCAGGTGGTCTGGTTTGGCAGCTTTAATCGGATGTCTCATTTTCCGACGATCTTCAAGGTTTCATCATCAGCTAGATAAACCCTCCCAAAATCACCACTGACATAGTTCTCCATGATTTCTCGGCATGGGGTGGAGTGGAAAGATGCTCCTGAATCCAAGATCCATGATTCAATCAGACTGTTGACGCTTAGAATCATGGAATCACCTGTATCCTCTGTCACGTTGGCAGATTCTTGTGCGCAGATATTTTTCTTCGGTGCTCGGTAATTCTTTTTAAAGTGGCCCTTCTTGCCTCATTTATAACAGGTAAAATCTTTCTTTCCCATTCTTGATTTTCCCGTTCTGGATTTGGATCTGCCACGATTTGAATTTCTTTCTGAAGTTCTCCCTCTAGACTCTGTGTGCAAGGCTGAGGAGGTTGATGCTTCACCCGATTCTCTCCATCAAATTTCTTCACTCAATACCAGATCTCGAACATCGTCAAATTTTAATTTGCTGTTTCCCGACGAGCTGCTGACTGCTGTAACAGTAGCATTCCAACTGTCTGGTAGAGACGATAAGAGAATTAAAGCTCGAACTTCATCATCGAATTCAATTTTCACGGAACTCAACTGGGTTGTGATTGTGTTGAGTTCATTTAGGTGTTGAGCCACCGATGCCCCTTCTGCCATCCGCAAATTGAACAATTGCCTCATCAAATGAACTTTGTTTGAGGCTGATGGCTTCTCATACATACTAGAGAGAGCCGCCATAAGACCCGCCGTGGTCTTTTCCTTTGCTATGTTGAAAGCAACATTGCGGGATAACGTTAGTCGGATAACTCCGAGGGCTTGTCTGTCGAGAAGAGCTAAGTCTTCATTCTTCATGCCCTCTGGTTGCTTTCCTGAGAGATGTTGATATAGATTTTTCTAGTACAAAAAATCTTCAATATGCATCTTCCAAAAGCCAAAGTCCGCACCATCGAACTTTTCAATTTTCACATTCCCTTCGTCTGCAGCCATCGCTCCCACTCGAATCTGGCTTCGTTTGGATCGTTTCTGACAATTCTTGCGAACCACCATGTATTAGAACACATCCGTCGACAAATTCGTATCGCTGACAAAATTTTTACTATTCACAAAATTCACTATTCACATGAATAGTAATGAATAGTGACCTCGCAAAAATTGACAAAATTTACAACCAAAAGCTCTGATACCAGTTATTGGGAAATAAACTAGTAAACAAATAATTTCTCAATAATCAGATTAGTAAGAATGCAAAATAAAAGCGGAAAAATAATACTCAAAAATTGATAACGGAGTTCAGCCAATTGTGCTTACGTCTCCGGACTGCTGCATATCTTTTATTAAGAGAGAAAATTTACAGGTGTTTACAAAACACTCACTACTCACAAGAAACTCTCTAGTATTGGGAGAAAGATGATTTGGGATTTGGGATGATTTTGAAGCTAAATGAGCTAGGGTATTTATAGTTGAAACTTAGGGACTAATCTTAGAAAATACCCTAAAGTGCAATGACTAAAGTGAATTTACCCATTCATATTTTCAACAAACATATACCAAACTTTGAAAAAACATTTTTCAAAGAAACATTTACCAAACTTTGAAAAATATTTTTTAAAATTGGTTGACAAACTTTATCAAGGTCGCGTTGGTTTCATGAGAGCGATAGAAATACACGTTGACAACCTCTGTTATACGTAGAGCTAATCTGATTTCGAGTATCAAGTTTGGTGATAGTCTTGTTTCGGATCAATCTACAGTGAAGAAGGTAATTCATGACGATTTCAAGATGGTTGTCAACTCAAAATCTGCTTTGGAAGTTTCCAGCATGAATCTAAACTTCAAGAAACTTGGTCAGAGTGAAGCAACTTTTTTGGAAGAAATTGGGAGGGCCATCTGTTCCCGCGATGGCGACCGTATTGGATACTTCAAGAGGTATTGGAATGTCCTAAGAGGGGACATTATTAAACTTTTATGAGGGGCAAGAAATGAAAGGTGGTTTGAATCACTCTTTTATTATTCTCATTTCCAAGTAAACCATTACAACCATTTTGGATAAGTTTAAACCGATCGGTCTGGTTGGAGGAGTTGATAAAATACTAGGAAGCTCCTTGGTAATATACTTCGGCTGTATATTGGTCGCATCATCTGTAAAACAAGTCTTGGAAAAACAAAACACGTGCATGAAACCGCTGGATCAACTTCTTAAGTTATTATAGAATTGAAATATTTTTTATTTAACCTATTCTAACTAATGGAAGGGAAAAAAGAAGTAAAATGCTGTTAATAGTCTCAAACCTAGAACATTGAAGAAGAGCGTGAGTAAATTATCCATGAAGCTAAAGCAAATATCTAATCAAATTTTATACATTATATATATAATTATCAAATTGAATCTTTTTATAATAAGATGACATTAAAATTTCAAATTAGATTTCTTTTTTACCTTTATAATTTAATATATATAATTCTTAAATCAAATGTTTTTAATTTATTTAATTATTTAATGATTTTAAACTTTTATTTAAAATAAAATGTTCAAAATCAGTAATTAATTAAGTTAAAAAGATTTCATTTAATTTTTTTTAATTAAAAACAGTTTTTTAAAGATATTAAAAATTGTTAAGTAGTTATGAATTTATTTTATATTAAGTAATAATTTTTATTAAGATATTAACGATACTAAAAAAATTAAATGAAATATTTTAAGTTAACTAATAAGTGACTCGAACATTTTATTTTTAATAAAAATTAAAACTATTAATTAAATTGAAAAATCAGTTTACCGATTATATATATAATTATAAAAATAAATGTAAAAGATAAAAAGTAAATCTAACTTAAATATATAAAAATTTAATTTAATTTTTAAAATATTTTATATAAAAACTGTTTTCAGTCGTGCTCAGGCTGAAAGGGCAGCTACTGCCGGCGCTCGGAATGTTAATGCTTATGGGCAGAAGGAAGAAGGGACTAGCAGGAGAAAAGGGAGGCAAAGAGGCAGATGTATTTGATGAGTACGGAGAAGGCAGTGAGGTTAGGCGAAAGGAGAGACAAGGCTTCGATGCCTGCGATGGGTGCTTCACAGTGCCAAAACTGTTTCCAAGCAGGGCATTGGACATATGAATGCAAGAACGAACGGGGTTACATGTCACGACCCTCACGAACTCAGCTACTTAAGAACCCCAAACTCAGGATAAAGCTTTCGATTTCTTATGATTTGGACATCCCAGATGGAAAGGATAAGAAGGATGATGATAGATCTAAGAAAAGCAAAGGGAAATATCGGTCGGATTCCGGTACTGGTGTCTGGTAGTGATAGAGAGGCTTCAGTTTTTGAGACCGACACTGATGCCTCGTCTGTCACGGGATCAGAATATTCTTCAGAGGGGAGTAATAGAAGAGAGGAGGAGGAGTAAGAAGAAGCAGCAGCAGAAAAAGGGTAGGTGTAGGAGGTACAGCTCATCTTCTGAGTCTTCTGATTCAGACTCAGACTCAGATTCCGACGATCGGAGCAGTCGAAAGAAGAGCTCAAGGCATAGCAGAAAGCGATGAATGAGAGAGGGTAGTACACAACATTGCCTGTTTTAAGCACATATAATTCTACCATGTTAGAACCTTCCAAAATAAGTTTGCAAAATGATTGCATCCTTTTTTTTTCTTGCACTGTTTTGTTATAACATAATTGAGATTAGTTTGTAGTTGTGGATTATCAGATTTGTAGATATTATGAAATGATAGTAGCTTGAAAATTCCTATAGTAAGTTTCTGTCTATTATGGACAACTAGATTATATGTTTTTGAATGCTACTGCTTGTTTATCCAATTTTGGCAATCCATGAATTTGGTTATGCTGTTTAGTGGACTATATTGGATGGGTTGCCATTAGCCAGTTCTTAGATTTGCTACGTGATTGGTCAATATTTTCAGTCTGTGGTTTTTGTGAGAATTATCCATCTTCTTTAGGACATGATTGTATGTATTCCACATAAACATGTTCAATTTTTAAGATTTTTCACATGGTAAGAGTTCTTACTCCTTGCAGGGCTATATTCTTATTCTCTTGTTCGGATATATTATAGAGAAAAATGAAGCGTTGGAGGCTGTATAAATTTAGCCCAAAAGAATGGTTCATCGTTGTAAAATCCGAACTGAATTAGCCACTTGAATTGAAAACGGTTGGTCAAATTCTGCATTTAGTACCTGTACTATATGAAACATGCACTTTTCGAAATGCACAAGTCCCCCGTTTACCTTTGGGTTGTTAATTCCATTAAAAAAATGGTGTGACACATGGCATCATTCTATGGAGCCGTGTGTCACCATGCGATATGTGATATTTAATTCTATGTCCTCTGAAAACAGCCACCATCCTTCACCACTGAAGGAAGATATGGATGAAAAATATAACTTAAACGTTGAATCGATTCAATTCTGATTTTCAATTCAACCGGACAATTCAAATGTTTTAAAAATGAGTCAAAATATAACGAACATAATCGAATTTTTTTCTTAAAAAATACAAAAAGAGGGTGAGAGACATTATAGTTACTATTAGGGGAGAGTATTTGATCCAATCAAGTCAAATTTTTAATAACATGTAGTGATTATAAAGTAGTGTATGCTCAAATTTTTTCTTAACTTATTAAAAACGCTCACACATCCTATAAACACAACTGCTAAAAACTATTTAAATTTAAATGTTATAATTTATAATATTACGATATTGATTGGTTTTAATTTAAACACTTCTCTTTGATCATATTTTTTTATAATCATTGGTATCTGATTTATTAATCGATTAATTCGGATAGGGCACTGAAGAAGTGAGGGCGACCCTCCCAACCCTCTCAAATTGAAGCTACAATGGTCTTCTATAGTGATTAAAGAGCATTTAGTTCAAATTTAGTCAACAATAAACTTAAAAAAAAGAATGAATGAAAAAAATTTCAAATTAATTACCTAAAAACAAAAACAACTTCGTTTTAATTAGCATATTGTTGCGGAAGACATCTATCAGATAGAGCAAAATCGCAACTGATAATTTGAGAAAATAAAAATGAAGATAAAAGAGACACAAAATTTACGTGGAAAACCCCTAAAAATTTAGGGTAAAAACCACAGGCAACGGTAGAAGAATTTCACTATGAGAAAATAGGAATTACAACCTCTCTCGATCTACCAAGGAGAAAACAATGATAATTCTCTCTAGATAAAAAGGAGAAAACAACTTTCAATAAACTCTCTAAAATCTCTCTAGTATTGGAAGAAAGCTAGAATGCTTTGGGATGGTTTTGAAGCTAAATGAGCTAGGGTATTTATAGTTGAAACCTAAGGACTAATTTGTAAATACCCTAAAGTTTAGGGATTAAATTTATTAATTATCCCTTTATTTTTTCAACAATTTGGTTACCTAATTTTGACTACATTAGCCGCCCAAAACCATTTTTCAAGCCACCCCATTATTATTTGTTTACTTTCAACAATCTCCCACTTGAAGATTTGATTGGAACAATCATATCTTCACACCATTCTTTCTACCTTGTACCATCATGTTGCTTACGTCTCTGACAGGCCACAAGAGGATCGACACCAGGTAAATTTATCAGTGTTGATCGCCTTTGTCATGAAATCTGCTATGTTATCTTTGGTATGGATCTTCTGTATATCTATCGTTCCTTCTTCCACATTTTCACGAATGAAATGGTACTGAACTCGTATGTGCTTAGTCCTTGAATGAAATGCTGGATTCCTTGCTAGATGCAAGGCGCTTTGACTGTCACAAAACAAAGAGACATACTCTTGATTGTGCCCAAGCTCCTCCAATAGCATCTTCAACCAAATTGTTTCTTTACTGGCTTGTGTAGCTGCTACATATTATGCCTCTGTTGTGGATGTAGCCATAACTGACTGCAATTTTGAAACCCAGCTTACAGCTCCACCAGCAACTTTGAACACATATCCTGTAGTAGATTTGCTTTTATCCAAATCCCCTGCATAGTCAGAATCTACATACCCATTGATTAGTAAGTTTGATCCTCCGTAACATAATGCAACATTTGAGGTCCCTTTGATATATCTTAGGATCCTCTTTACTTTATTCCAATGCTTTTTTCCTGGATTCGCCATGTACCGACTAACCACTCCCACTGCTTGTGCAATGTTTGGTCTTGTGCATATCATAGCGAACATTAAACTTCCCATTGCTGATGCATACGGTACTCGAGACCTCTACATCCTCTTTTCTTCACTGCTAGGACTCATACTGGAGGATAATTTGAAGTTAATAGGAAGAGGGATAGAAATTGGCTTACAATCTTGCATGTTGAATCGTGACAAGATCTTCTTCAAGTAATTCTTTTGTGAAAGCCAAATCTTCTTATTACTTCTGTCTCGGTGAATTTGCATCCCTAGAATCTTGTTAGCTGATCCCAAGTCCTTCATTTCAAATTCCCTAGCCAGTTGTGCCTTCAATTCTTCAATATGATCTTTGTTGGGTCCTGCAACCACATGTCATCCACATACAACAGCAATATAACAAAATCATTATCACCAGACCTCTTGAAATACAAGGGTCTGCATTAAGTCTGATGTATCCAAGGCACATAATGAAGGAATCAATCTCTTATACCAACACCTCGGCGCCTGCTTTAGACGTACAGAGATTTGTTCAACATGCAAACCAAGTTCTTCTTTTCTTCTTCAAACCTTCAGGCTGGAGCATATAAATCTCTTCTTCAAGATTTCCATGAAGAAAAGCTGTTTTAACATCTAGTTGTTCCAGATATAAATTCAATGTAGCACACATTGCCAAGATTGCTCAAACTGTTGTTAGTCGAACCACAAGAGAAAAAATTTCATTGAAATCAATACCTTCTTTCGGAGCATATCCTTTGACCACCAGTCTTGCACGATACCTCTCCACTTGATCGTCACCATTTCACTTGATTTTGAAAACCCATTTGTTACCAATTGGCTTCCTTCCTTGTGGTAGTGGCACAAGGTCCCATGTATTATTTTTATGAAGGGCTTCGATTTCTTCTTGTATCGCCATCATCCACAGTGAAGCATCTGAGCTGTTTATTGCCTCCTGGTATGTTGATGGCTCACCGTCCTCTGTTAAAAGGCAGTATGCAATATTACCTTCTATAACATAATCTGAGTGCCAATGGGACGTCTTCTCACACGATCTGATTGACGAGTTGTTGGAGCTTCAAAACTCTCTGGTTCTTGTTCATCATGTGCTGGTTCTGCTTCAGAAGAATCTCCTTGTTCAAACTCTTTTTCCACATGTTTCTGAGTAGTCTCTGACTTTTCAGCGCTATCATCGTCTTCTTTTCTTTGTAGTTTATCTTCTACAATGATAACATCCCTGCTAATGATCACTTTGCGGGCAGTGGGATCCCACAAGCGATACCCCTTTACTCCATCAGCATACCCCAAGAATTTGCATTTTCTGGATTTTGGATCCAACTTTGAAATTTTCTTGGGTGTTGTACATCACGTACACAATACTTCCAAATACATGGAGGTTTGAATAATCAACTGGTTTACCAGTCCACATCTCCATTGGTGTCTTCAGCTCTATTGCAGTTGATGGAGCTCGATTCACCAAATAACAGGCGGTATTGACTGCTTCTGCCCAGAATGATTTTTCTAGGCCTACGTCCCTCAACATTGCTCTTGTTCTTTCTAACAAGGTTCTGTTCATCCGCTCTGCCACTCCATTTTGTTGAGGAGTGTTCGCCACTGTGAACTGTCTTTTGATGCATTCTTTCTTGCAAAAGTCATCAAATTCTTCACTTGTGTATTCTCCTCCATTATCTGTTCTGAAACACTTGATCTAATTTCCAGAATCAAGTTCCACCCGCGCTTTGAAGTTTTTGAAAGTGGAAAACACATCTGACTTCTTCTTAATAGGGTACACCCAACATCTCCTAGAGTAGTCATCAATAAATGAGACAAAGTATTTTGCTCCTCCTAGGGATATAACTGGTGCTTGCCATACATCAGAGTGAACCAATTCTAGAACACTTTTGGCTCTAGAATTTGACGTGTTGAATTTCAACCGGTGCTGCTTACTTGTTACGCAATGCTCACACAAAGGAAGTGTTACATTTGTTAAGCCTGGAAGTAGTTTTTTGCTCCACAAGGACTTTCATTCCTTGTTCTGACATGTGACCAAGTTTCTAATGCCATAACATTGCCGAATCTGAACTACATGAGGCAACAGAGGCTTCTGCTTCTAGCAATGTCTCTCCCTTCAGTATGTACAAGTTTAAAGCTATCGTTTCACCTTTCAGCACCACAAGCGCTCCACGGAACACCTTCATGATTACTTTCCGTGTTTCAATCTTGCTAGCATTATTATCCAACAATCCGTAGGATAATAAATTTTTCTTCAGACCTTTCACGTGCCACACATCTCGAACAACTTTAATTGTTCCATCATACATCTTTAATTTGATGGTTCCCACGCCAACGATCTCTAAGGCATGATCATTGCAACTATACACAGATCCTCCTGAGACAGGTTCATAATGATGAAACCATTCTCTTCTTGAGGTCATGTGATATGTTGCTCCCGAATCAATGAGCCATATATCT